TGCTATCATTGCCGCCATAGACGTTGCCAACGCAAAGGGCTTCTCAATTATGGGGGCGGCCAGCCGCCAGTGCCTGCCGCGTTACTGGTGACGGTGACTGACTACGGCACATATGTACATACATACATAGTGACGCTGGTGCCGGTGGGGATACTTACATATGTACATATGTATGTGCGTGATGCGCGAGTGGGGAGCGGCAAAAACGCTTGATGATTATGAAGATAATTGTGGAGCAGACTGGCGTTGAGTGAACGCATTTTGTACTTTCAGTACGATAAGTGACACGATCAGCTGCAGTAGTGGATAAGAAGCAAGAAGTAAAGCACTTGTTTGGCCGGCGGCACAGCGATTTGACAACGTGATAAATACATATATGTAGATACTATAAGCATACAAGAGAACGTACATATTTACATACATACATACATATGTATTTATATACATACATATGTGTATTTATTCACTTATAGTATGTTGTTGTTGGAGAATTATAATTTTAATTTATGTACGTAAATTCGACTCGACTAATTAAAGTGATTAACTAAAATAAGTGCACGCGCGCGGAGAAAGTGATTAAGCACTTTTTTCCTCCTTTATTTAAACTTTTGAGAAGTCTATACTTTAATGGATTCCTACCGAAATATAGTAGCTTTAACAAAGAAAGAATAGTGAAAAGCGATATCTCGCAATGCTAATCTCCCGTGGATATTATCTAGCGATAAGAGCATCCATCTTTCATCAGCTAAGTTAAATGTGAATGAATGTGTGTGCGTGTGCACGAAAATTTGCGCTGTTGGACAATGTTTACGATTTGAGCGGCTGCCGTTGCCGCCGATGCTGCTGCTGTGCTTACACTCACACACCCACCCACGAAGTCAACGTTAAGTAGCACCTCCTGGACAGACAAGTCACTCGGGCATACATATGCACTATATGAATACAAGCTAATATTGCACAACAATAATAATAACAACAATAACAACAACAACAATACGAGTTGCTGATAACTCACAAAGCGCATAAAAAGTATAAGAACAAGCAAAAGAAAAGAAGAAAAAAGTATATATAAAATAAATTCCATTGTCGCGCATCGCGTCACAGCTACAAAATTACAAGTTAATTTCCGCAACGCAGAACTTTAATACATATGCACATACGTGCATAAATACATTTGTTAATCCTGTTTATTTTTATTTATTTTTTTTGTTGTGGTGGGTGCAAGTCCACGCGCTCAATTGAATGTATCCCGCATTGTGCCAGCAATGAGTATAACGGCGCGCGGCAAGTGGACGTCAGCGACTGCTGTGGCGACAGCGGGCGTACAGCGCAGGCGTGTGATCAACAAACACATTCAACAGAAGTATCTGTTATGTGGGTTTGCTATACATGTACATATAAACATATTTAATTTAAAGTAAATTTGTAATTATTAAGTACCTACTTACAATTATTTAAATAAAATAATTACCTATAAAGTTGAATTATCAAAATAACAAACTGACGCACACATGCACACTTACTTACTTATATACACTGCCTGCTAGAAGTAAGCATCCCATCAACATTAACAGTAAATTTACAGTATATAAACATTTTTACTCCCCTTTCTCATTTACACTTTAATGCTCTCCTCTCTAATGGTTTTCTCATTTTTGTATTCACTTTCAGGCCTTCCTCGCCACTCCTGCCTACCTCTACGGCAATGTCGTCGAATCGGATAAGGACTTGGTTTTGCGCATTTGGCCCGCCATTGTTTATCAGGCTACTGGCCAGGTTTGCCGCTCCATTTTAGAGCATTTGGACACCGAATATCGGGGACGTGAACGTGAGACTACCGAATATCGTCGCTTCTTTCTTTGCGCTACGCTGATCACATGTTTGTCGCTTATGATTAGCGGCATATTCTTCTCATCGGCTTGGGTCATTATTTCTACAACAACACAAGCAGTGGCTATAGTATTCTATGGATTCTTTGCGGGTAAGAGTTTTAGAACATCGTCACGCGTGCGTTAATACTATTTGAAGACTTTCAGGAAGTGTATCAGCAAATTCGCAATACATTCTAAGGACAGTTTACGATAGGTTTAAATAGCTGGGAAATGAATTCCTTCCACATGTAGGTCAATAGAGACTTGTTGTAATATCGTACGGTCTTCCTCACTAGTCTATACATCATTGGGTTAGTGCTGTAAACTTTACCAAAGCGTAGTCTTCATCTACTTAAAGCCGGGCAATGGTATAAAAGGTGTTTAACTCTTTTCAAATTCTTCAAATTTTTCGGTGCGTCCATCTCTAATTTCCTGACGTGTATTCCAATTTGGCGGTGGTCTGTTAAAAGGACATTTATTTCCTGTTTAAACATAAAACCACCGAAGAGCTTTTACAGGAAGCTTCACATAACAAAAAAATTGTTCCTTCGTGCATTGGATTCTTAGAGTAGTGCGAACTCTTGCATACCATTACATACAAGTGGTACACCTACCCTGTCCTCTCCTGGAAGGATTTGTGTGGTTTTCTTTTTGGTTGTTGTTGAGAACGCAAAATGACACTGAAGATGGAACAACGCCGAAACCGGTTTGTCTCCAAACGAAATTTGGCACGGGATGATGGAAACTCGTTCCAAAATATATTATGCGATGTGTGCGGTCGTTCATGTCTCTGCCGATTCGTCAGCTTTGCAATTATCTTCAACATCTCAGTGCGCAGACACTCGAAAACATTGAGTTCTTATATGTTGGTCCATCTATAGATTTATTGCTTTCAGTAAGCTAACAAGTTCACAACTTCTCTTACAGCTGAGCAGCCATCAATGCTTTGGTCTTACTCATAGTCCTTTGTCGATCTGTTTTCTCTGTTTAGTTCTTTGAGTTTCCTGAACGACCAACACTTCTGTTTAATATACAGTGCGGTGGTTGGAGAGACAAATGGGTGGCTCCAACCTCAATTCAGATGGGAAAACTCATCCTCCAACTTTGACTGTATAAAGCTATATCAGACCTACATATATTGTTGGTTGTTGTTGTTGTAGCGGCACAACTAGGCGCCGCCTAGGTGGATTTGTCCATCAATCGGTGTCAGCTGACGGTAGGCCCAGTAAACGTATAGTTTCGACGGGGCTGGACCAGAGCGAATATGGTGTTAACTAAGTGGGAGTGTGAAGAGGTGGTTGGTGTCTTGGGGGTATCTCCACATACTAGACTCTCATTTGGTACGTGGGGGTCGAAGCTCGTTAAATGGCTGTTGAGACGGCTACGGTGTCCAGACCGTAGTCGGCCTACAATAACGCGGGTCCCACTAGGCAGCTGAATCTCGTCTTCTGCAATAAGTGAAAATTGAAAATTGGGCTACATTCACGGCTTTGATAGGGGGAAAGTGGCAGAAGGTGTAGACAGACTCTCTATGAATTCCATTGATAGCTTGTCTATAAATCGTCGGGTCAAGTGGTTCTTCTGTATAGGTCTGCGGCATTTTGACAAGCCTGAAGCTTCGTTCACTGCGTCGAGGAAGTCTCCGGCGACCAAACAGGCGCCAACAATGTATCTTTGTATTCGCCCCATGTGCTACCGGCAAGCGACGTTAGAACCTTATTACGGCTCCGTACCTTTAAAATTGTTTTGCCATTGGTTTGTCAGCAACGTGAACACCTAGTTGAAGCCTGACTTGCTTCGTTCAGGTGGTGAAAAGGTGGTTGGCTTCGTTGGGGAGATTGCGTGCGGTGAAGAAACGACTAAGTTCGAAAGGAAACGAATTTACTTTCGAGCAGAGGTCAACAATTACATTTCTGGACGCCAATATCAAACAGTCGTCAGCGTAAAAGTGCGGGAAAACTCCCTACGGTGGTGTTGGTATTACAACTTTTTATATCTTATCGAACTAGCTGCAAATTACACAATTGTCGTTACTCATAGGTTTCGGATTGTCCTCGAATGCCTGACATTCCCATAATCCATGCGCCAGCTTCTTTAAGTCTTAATGGTGTTGAGTGGTCATCTCCCAAGAAATTAGTTAAAAGGGATATAAGTTCAAGATCGAATTTAGTGAGTATGTGGGCTTCTTTGTATTCCTAGCGAGTTTATACGCGTGGTTGATTTCATGAGTTTAGGACACCATACTAAGACTTAATACTGTCCGTATTGCGGTATAAACATATGCATATATATAGAATACTATCTTCGGAAACGTAATTCCAAAGATAAATTTAACCTTTAATTCTCTTCTTACAGGAATCGGTTCTAGTCTCTTCATTTGGAAGACCCACGTCATTCTGGAGGCGGTACGTCCGCGCGAGGATAAGTTTGTGCGCAAAACGATACATCTTTGCGGTGAAGCGTTCTGTCAACTCTTCCTCTCGTTCGTCTTCACCAGCTTACGCACACTCTACGGCACAGCACAGTCCATAGTTCTCATGTCCGCTCTATTAGTAAACCTTATACCCATTAGTTTGATCATTACGCGTCATCGCGAAGGTTC